CTGGAATCTTCTATACTCTGCCGTGTTCATCTGGGTCTTTACCAAAATCCATGATCTCATGCCCCTTTCCATTTCTCTTAATTGCAGGCTGCTGATATGGATGAAGATTCTAGTGGGCTTGTTTGATTTTTCTGCAGCTGCTGCTTTCTGATAGTGTGTGGTGGTGGTGGTGCATAGAGTAAAGAGTAAGAGTAAGAGAGAGAGAGAGACAGTGAGAGAGAAAGGGAGGGCTGGCCTATCATTATATATGCTGAAATCTAAGTTAAAGATAAGGCCCGGAGGTAGAGGTATTAGTAGAGCTTGTGACTGTTGGGAAGACAGCACAAGAAGAGAGAAGCTTTTCATCAGATGTTATCCGTTGAAAACCTTCCACCAGATCCCCCATGTCATCCGCAAGCACTGATCAAAGATAGTAGTGATGATGAGAAGGCCTCTCAAACTCCATCCTTTCCAGAGGTAGTAGATCTATCAAAGCCACCCCTTCCCAAGTTCTCCATAAGGTAATCTCTCTCTCTCTCTCTCTCTCTCTCTCTCTCTCTCTCATTGGAGGAGGGAATGAATAGTTGTTGATTATGATCATAACACAGCTTGGTTTTGTTTTTCCTATCATGGGTCTAACTGCTTCTCTTTTTCTCTTTGTGATCTCAAAGTTTATCCCATCTTAGAGCGTGTTGAGTCAGATCCAGAGATGCATGTTGTTGCTTGTGGCTCAGTCCAACATGGGGCCTAAGTCATGACCACACCCCCATCTTGTCTCTATTTTTAGTGTTTGGGGATTTTTCCTGCTTTGGCTAATAATGAACTCTTTCACGGCTCTTAATCCCACAAAGCCACACGTTTCTTCATGTGTTTTATTTCCTTAATTCATGCTCTTAATCTACCCAACTAGATTTCCAGGATTTTTACTTGCTTTTCTTCCCCCAATGTTGTTGCTTGTGATTTCATGTCACCTTTATTTGCCATGAGTTTTAATTAATCTCAGAGCTTGTTCAGACCATATCTGCAGACATCTTCTGAGTTCCTAGATCATCGAATCTCCAACTCACTTGGGCATATCTTGGATTTTTCTCTACGGTTGTGTGTGTGTGTGTGTTTTTTTTTCTTTCGTTCTTTCCTTTTTAGTTCCATGGTCCATATTTATTCCCTTTCTTTGTTAAAAATTAACGTACAATAAAAGGGTGCCTAACAGTAACGTAGTCTGAGTTCTCTTTGGACTCGGTCTAAAGGTGGCTTAGATGAGTCATGCATTGCAATTGACCATTTAAGTTAATAATGAGATATGATGTTTTGTTTCGCAGAGATTATGTTTTTACTTCACGGAGCAAGGATATCCAGACCAACTGGCCTTTTTCCCAGAAGAATTTGCAACTTTGTTTGAAACATGGCGTGAAGGATCTGTTGCCACCATTTCAAAGTCTTGATGCTGCAAAGAACCAATCCATTAAGAGATGTACTGTTGAAAATGAAAACAAAAGCAATCTTGATATTGCAGAATCTTTTGGACATGATGATCATGTAGTATTGGACTCGTCCAACAATACCATACTGAAGGAGAAGCTAGCAGAAGCTTGCACGGACACAACAACAACTTCATGCAGGTCTGAAGGAGAAAATGATTTTCCATCCACAACTACAAGCATTTCTCAATCTGAAATAGAAGAGTCAGTTCCTACCAACAGGCAATCAAGCCCACTGTTAAGAACTGGTACTTCATTGGAAGCTGCCTCAGTTGAAGTTAAAGCTGTAAGTCTTCCTGTTGTTGTTGCCAACAAGAGAGAAAGCAAGACCCGACCCTCGGGTAAGAAGTGCAGATTGGTAGTAAAATTCAGCAGCCACTCCGAGAGAAGCTCAACTGAAGATATTGCTTCAAATTGTACTGCTGTTTCAGAAACAATGACTTCAAAAATTTGCCCTGTTTGCAAAACCTTCTCATCGTCTTCTAATACCACCTTGAATGCTCATATTGATCAGTGCCTTTCCGGGGAGTCAACTCCTAAGTGGACTGTGGATTCTAATAAACTAACGAGGCACAGAATTAAGCCAAGGAAGACCAAATTGATGGTGGATATATATACTACTGCCCAGCATTGCACATTAGAAGATCTTGATAGAAGAAATGGTTCCAGCTGGGCCACTAGTGTTTCAAGCTTTCCTACTCAGGATAATGAGCACTCTGAGATGCCTGTTGAAGAGAAAAGGCAAAGAGTGTCCTCAGCCCATCCTGATGATATCGATGTTGGTGCAGTCTATGTGGACGCCAATGGCACCAAAGTTAGGATTTTATCCAAGTTTGATGATGCGCCATCTCCATCAGTGCCTAAAGTGGTAGAGCATCTTCGACCAAGAAAACCTTTGAAACGGGGTAAAGGAAGCAAATTCCTTTCAGCCAAAAAGCAAAAGCGCCATGCATCTAAACATCACAAGTACCTTAAACTCGCTCCTCAAAGCAAAAACTTTTTCTCTTCCAAGGCTCATTCTTCTCAGGTACGCCACTCTTGCTTTATGTATTTACATGGTCTTTTACCCTCTTCTACTGATTTATTTATATACATCTCTTCACGGTTTTTCTTAAAGTCATTTGTTTGACTAAAGAAGTTCCTCAAGACAGGCTACTAATTTCACCTTATGTCTCACCAACTTATTGACAACATGCACTTTGATGGCATGAAAGGAAAATGAATAAAGAAAAAAGCATTGCTATATTTCAGAATGAAAATTATATTACATGCCCTCAATATGCTTCTCACTGCTTTTCGTTGGATTTTCTTTGCTAACACTGCTTTTCGTTTGAATTACAAGTTTAAGAAACCTCTTTGTTGCAAATATGGTGGTTTATAAATTAACATATGGCAAAATTGTTTTTGAACAGATTCATGGGAGTCAAGAAAGATATGGAGTGAAAGAAAGTTCCAAGGACGAGGGACAGCAAATGGAGAAGCAGGCCAATTCCTGCAATCCTGGAGCTTTAAGACGATGGGCTTGCTCCAAACGGACTGGTGTTGTAAAGAAGTTGAACAAGAAGCATGTGTCTCAGAATTTTTTGGTTGAGGGTGATCAAAGAGGTTTAGATAATTGTCTTGTGGAGAGAAACCGTGCTATAAAACCAATGAATTTTTCTGGAGATCAAAATTCTTCTCCAGAAAAAAGTGGGAGCACAGAGAATGTATATTATGAAGCTCAAGACAGTGACAAGAGTGACTGCTCTCCTGGGAGAAAGAGAGCAGGAAGTCCCTTTCCTGGTGCTGATATCAGTGATAATCCTGAGAGGTCCCTTCAGCGAAACTCCCATCAGTTTAGTAAAGACAGAAATTTTGCTCCTGATAGTTGCAACCTGAACCTTACAAACCCTGACGGGAACTTTGCACCTTTGAGCAACAATAAAGTTGGTTCTGCTGCAGGTCTATCTGAAAATTTTGATAGTCCTCCAGATGCTAGCACAAAACCATCTAAGAGTCGTGATGCCTCCAGATCAAATGCCATGAAATCCCCCTTACCAAAGAAAAATGTGTTGTCTGTTGGCGGTGGGTTATCTTTGACTGAATCCAATTCCATTGTGGCTAAAAGCCCAGCTGTTAAGAATCAAGTGCATGAAAGGGTAGAAGTTGATAAAGAGGTTGCTCCCCGGAATTCTGAGCCTGATCAACGGTATGATTTCATGTATAATTGTGCTGGAAAGCGGTCTAGAAGACGAGATATTACTGACGAAATATCTATTTGCAGAAACAGTGTGTTGCAAAGGAGACAAAATAGAGGTTCCATAAGTATCTCTGGAAGGAAAGAAACCATGGCCTTGAAGAGTTCACAATTTGCATCCGAGTGTTATGGACATGATGGGAGGGAAAAGATGGATTCTTCTGTTAGAGTTGATGGCTTGGGAGTCGCTCAGGAGGATCAAATCCTCGGTAATGACATTGTTACTGAAACGTTTACTGAAACGTCTTCCCTAATAGGTGTTGGGGAGACTGTTGCTAGTTTTTGCAATACAGTAGATCCTGAACTTCACATACCGAGTGGCCGTTTCAAAGCCAAATCCGACTGTCAAAAATATAAGGGACCTTTTTCCGAATCTGAAGCACTGGCAAGTCCAGCTGATCCAAGAATTAGTAACGAGCAAGAGATGTTTTCTGCTGATGAAGTGGAAGACGCCCCACTCGGGCAGAATCTTAGTAATGCCGACGAAATGGACTCGGAAGTTGGCCAGGGAAGCTATTTTCCTGAGGTTGATCCAATACCTATTCCAGGGCCACCAGGATCATTTTTGCCAAGTCCTAGAGATATGGGGTCAGATGATTTTCAAGGGAACTCTTCACTAACCACGAGCCGAGTTCAATCATCTCAAGATCAGCTTGATTTTATTGATGGGGATTCATCAGATTCACCTCTTTCTACAACGTCAACCATCTCTAATTCCACTGGGACAAAATGTGATCTGAAGTATTCTGAACCATTATCATCTATAGGACCTCAATCAGTTCAAGACAACATCAGGTCGGGCCTATCACATGCAATCATTGATCATTGTGTAGAAATTAATGCTGCTGCAGCTCAACAGATAACTGTTATAGCAGCAGAAAAACTTGCTTTTGATAGAGAGAACTTTAAAGTCAACAAGACATCTCTTGAGAGGGGACCTCTCAGCTTCAAAGGTAACGATCAACCTTGCTGTTGTCAAAGAAAGGAGAGAACCTTTCAGGGTGTGGCTTTAAATTATCAAGAATCACCGCTATTAAGGCGACGAGCAATGGCACTGCCTGCCATGGGAAAGCAAGTGGGTTGCAATCCAAACACAAGAACCAACAATGTGGAGACGAGGTCTGACATGACAGACACCTTTCCGAATGGTTTCCCAACTTCAAGATCTGAACAGATGGTTTTCCCTGTCACTAAGTCATCTGCAGGTCCCATTCCTTTGAAGGGTTCTCCAGATAGCAAAGGGAAGTTATCTGGTCACAGTGATTGTGATTCTGTTAGTCCATCTGCTTCTAATTCCATACTCCGGCTGATGGGAAAGAATTTGATGGTGGTCAATAGAGATGAAGATGCATCAGCTCCGCCGGTGCAGGCCCAATCACATGCCCCAATTAACCATCTAACTTCACAGTTTCCAACATTCTCAGGAGTTGTTCCTGGCAATCAAAATCAGTTTTACCATTCCTTCCATCACAGTCTTCCTCATGGTTCAGTTATCTTTGGTCAAGATCCCCATAACAAAGTGGGGGAATGCTTTGATACAGCGCACTTCAACAGTTTTAGAAGCTATAGCAATCCGAAGACACCACAAGTGGTTGCACGAGGACCTGTGAGCTTGTTTTCACAGCAGCATACGGATGTTGGTTTTGTGGCATCCATGGAATCTCATGAGTATAAAAGTGACTACAATTTTCCAATCCCACAGAACAAGAATATAAGCAAACCCATTGGAGCACCCGCATTTCAAATGGAGAGAGTTATGAACACTCCTGACCACCGACGCAAGAATTCAGATTCTGCTTCCAGTGCAAATAAAGAGATTATCATCATTGATGATCCTGAAAGTGAACCAGATTTGGCCTGTAATGTTTCAAACTACTCAGAAGGGTCGAGGGAAGGCCAAGTAGTGTGTTCTGGCATTCCAGTTCCAGCAGCTCCCAGTTATAACTCACAGCGTGTGAATCCTTTCTCTTGTTATGAGTCACAGGACCCTTCTCTTCTCTGTGGATCACCAGTTTTGTACAACACCGCCTTGCATGCAATTCCCTCCCGACGAGCCAATGCAAGTCCTGCCCGGTGGAGTTGTACTTCAGAAGGTTCTGGTGTGCTGCAGCGGACTCCTATTCTTGCGGCATCGTCATCTTCAAGAAGTCATCTGAGACCTACAGTTTACAATTCTCCGAGCTTCTCATAGTAACCAAGTTGTGTTTGAAAGTGGCTATTTTCACCTGGTTTTGAGCACAACCAGGTTTGCTTTAATCAAACTCTGTACTGATCCTAGAATGCTCGTAGACAGATCGCTGGAAACTTTTGGGGGATAAAAGAAGAGGGAATGGCGGTTGATCAAAGATAGAGATGTACACTGTACCAAATGTTGGTTCAAAACAATGCAGTTTTTCAGGCTTCTGCTTAGGGATGCTACCCAGAGAATAGACAATGTATAAGGGATCCATGAATAATATATAGTTGACATAAAAGCTTGGCTCAAAGTCAATATATATAGTCGAGCATTGCTGTAAGGAAGGTTTTATTTTGTATTTTCCTCTTTTTTTATTTTATAGAATTTTGTTAGAGCTACTTTCATGTGTTTTTGCCTCAATTAAATGTGAATTACAAGCAACACCAGCTCTAGTCTTGAAAATCTATTATTTTCTGATTTGGTTTCGGTTCATCTGCGCTTTCCATACGTATTTGAGTACTTCAAACCGTAGAGAAAATTCTGTTGAAGTAAAACCAATCAAACATGAAGCTAAGTTATAAAGTAGCATCGATGGTATCTGCCGTTATTGCCAATCTTGAAGCATAAAATTGGATAATAAAATGGTGATGCAAATCTTGGTTTGAAGAGGAAGGCTTCTGAATATGATTTTCCTTGCCTTGAGCTAAAGGAACATAAAATACTAAAAATAAAGCGACACAAGGGGAGAAATACCAAATTAACTTGATAGGAATAACTATGAACGAACATTTCAAAAACTTGCACGATGAAAAACCCACATGCAGAAACCTACGCAGATAGCCAACAAAGATGTGTATATATATATATATATATTTGGCAAATCATACATCGAACCATTTGATGATATCTTCTCCTGGTTTTGATCATCAATATTGTATGTGTTTTCTTTCTAGGCACCAAGAGATGAGAGGCTCCACCATTAGATTTTGCTGAGACAGTGTATCTTTTAGCTAGCTAGCTATAGACTTACATATATATAGATATTATTTGATGTGGGGTCTTATGACTAGAGAAAATGCAGAGGCTACAGTGATGACTGAGACCCTCTTGCCAATAAAACTCATAGAATGTTTTAACTTTTGGCTGTTTTTACGTCACTTATTCTTCGTTTCTTGCTTTATCTTCCTCCTCAATTTCCATGCTACGTACAATGCGAAAAAATGGTACTATATGAATGAACGAATGAGAGATAATGAGAGAGGTGCATGGTCAATTTAAGGTACAGACAAATAAAATGTCCCTTGGATTCGCAATAATATGCTTTGCTCAATAATAATGCAGTACGTGGTACTATTGGCAGTTCCTGTTTTACTGAAAGACATAACTAGGAAGTCACGCACACCTAATAGAGACGGGTATGTCCCGATACAATTAGGTTTCATATTTCTAATTGGTACGATACACAATATGGTATAACAATATGGTTTCTTTAACGTTACTTTTGTTTGTTGAAAGAGCCGTTCTCGAATTTAATTAATTAGTTAATAGATGAGCATATCGAGCACCTTTCTTTTCTTTTAATAAGGACAACATGATATGTAATTGAAAAGCTATTGTTTGTGCGTGTTTAAAAAATTGGGGGTCGGGGGTTAGGCAAATGGATGGAACGTGGGAATGTAAATTTTGCATGGTGAAAGCTGGACCCTCCCCCATTACACACTCTTTACAAAGACAATGGCTCTACTTGTGCAATTGTGTTTTGTGGGCCATTCTTTGTCTTTCTTCTTGTCACTTTATTCTAATTCTAATGTGGCCTCTCAAAAGCATACTCTGAACGTAGAGAGAGAGAGAGAAGTATCTGGTGTTCAATCTTGAGAGAGAGAAAAAAAGTATTTGTTGTGTTCTACACGTACCCTTCGAATCTCTCTCTCTCATTATAATAGCATTGACCAGTCTATAGAGTTCCAAACATAGTATATATAATGCTCCTCACTATTTGTATAGTGCTACCTATTAGCTTAATCATTTTCGTTAATTATATTAATTATGAAAAAGACATTCCCACCCACATTCTGTATAAAACGCATTTGAGTTTGGTTTGAAAAATGTCCCGTGTTTTGGTGGAAGTGGAATTCGTAATTTTTTCGAGAGGACTTGACCTTTTATGGGTTTATGAAAATAGTTTTGTCTTTGAGCAAAACCATGAGATTCATGTTGAAATGATTCTAGCTGCTCAATTTGAGCACGTATGGACAACAAACAAGAGTCAAAAATCCAACCCTAATAATTTATTTAAACTTGTAAAATACACTCACTACAACTCAATTCCAAATTTGAATTCAAATGACATGTTAGAAGGGTTGGGTCTGCATTCTTAACTTAAGAGTTGAAAAAACCTGTCAAATTTGCTCCAAATCCTAAGCTTATTCCCAATTCGAATTACCAGCTAAATCACATTATATTAGTTAATAGACATAGTATATTAAACAATAAGGTTCAAGTTTTATGTTGGCTTGAACTTTGTGACTTGAATCTCAAATCTAGTTCGATGATTTTTTTTTGTTTGGGCCGAAGAGAAATTTTATTAGAAATCCATGCAGCCCAATCCAAACAATCCATGGAATTCAAACACATAGAACCTTTATGTTTGTGCAAGAGGCTTGAGCTAAGACTTCGAGTGCAGAGTTAAATGCTCTTAACTGCTTGAGCGATTTTAGGGGATGAGAGAATCAAACTTAGACTTTCAAAGCACAAGTAAATACTCTTAATTACTTGAATTAGAAACTCCTTTAAGAGATCCTAAATTTTATTCCCCTACCCCAATTGTATAAAAAAAACCTTTATGTTTGTGAGTTTATTTGGATCCCCAACTGGCTTGAAAGTTAATTTGGTACTTGAATTGAGCATTTTGAGTTCAAGTGCAATATTTTTTTTTTGGGGTAACTCTCTCTCTCTCTCTCTCTGAGTCTGAGGCCCACTTACCAACCAATCAAACTCACAGAAGAAACACAAACAGAGTTGAAGGGTAGTTGCCAAGTCAAACATTCAATCAAAAACCCCATCGAAAACGAAAACAAGATGTCACCGTCACACTCCGTCACACCACCAACCTACACCAGCATACCCATTTCCGTCTCCGGCTCCGATGCCATCACCCGATCCATCAAAAACCTCAACGACGCCGTCTCCCGCCGCCGCCACTGGCCCGAGTTCGCCTCCTCACTCGACCGGCCCGACTCGTTCTCCGCCGCGCTGACCCGGATCCGGACCAACGCCAACCACTTCCGGGTCAATTACTTGCTCCTGATCGGCGCCTGTGGGGCGCTCTCGCTCATCGGAAGCCCGGGATGGCTTGTGGTGACGGCGGCCGGCGGGGGGGGGGGGGGGGGGGTGCTTTTCTTTCGGGGGGAGCCCCCTGGGGG